GGATGTACCTATACCTACCTTTATCCTACCTTATACACGTAACCTGTCCCCGTCCAACGACCGCTCTCGCCCTGCACTTACAACTCCCTCTCTATACACTTACATACGCGTACACGAGTGGGCGCAGACAGGCACACGTACAGGTGTACCAGTACCTGCTGGAACCGTGGCTCTGCGTTCGGTTGTTGGACCTCGGTGACTCGGCACTTCCACTTCGTTAGCCCGTGTTAATAACGTTAAAGAGGATGCGATAAACTCGTTAGGAGACGAAACTGTGACCCAGGATGGGTTACGTCTGATCCTCACCACCAACGTAGGCAATTTTCTTTCCCGTCGATTCGCGAACGTAAAAGAATTGGATAAGCTTTTGAAAGATTCATTTTCAAATAATTTGATAACTCGTACAATGGTGTCGATTATCACGGGTAGAGAAGATTGCAACAGAGTGACACATCCGGCAGGGCAATCGAGCGACGACAATCGTACGATGGCCATGTGCTCGAGTAGCATGGTAAATTTATTAGTCGACGGGAATATGATCGCGCGACGCGTATTGCGGGACCGAGGTACACCGAGGAACACGATAGGTACGTACGAATATAATCCTGTCAACGATGGGTGGTCGTAGTATGGGGCGAACGAGCACCGTCGACGTTCCATGTTCTCCATCCGGACCAAATTCGACGTGCCGGCCGCGAAAATACGAGCTACCGGTTATGAATTACTCCCAACGCCGTACCGCCAGCCTCGGCTAATAATCCTCTCTATGCCGAATTTCTCCACTGTCGTGTAATCGTTCGGTACTCGCCTTGTTCAACCTCGCCCGACCGCTTTGCATCCATTGCGTATTTCAATATGAAAACTTCATCGGATCGTTCGGTTATCGGTAACAGGCTGCTGAACAGCTTGATTTTAACAGACCTCGTTGTGCAGCTTGTAGGACATTGCGTTTGACTTTAATAAAATGTAGAATCATTCTTTTTGGAATTAATAATTTTTCGGTGCCAAATTCTTTTGAGAGCACCAAGTCAATTTTCATTAGAATAATTTCGTGAAATTTCCGGAAGTGCCTTTGTCGTCGATTTATCAAAGGGCCAAGGGTTCCCTAGGCTTGCAGTTAGGGAGGTGGCTCGCGGAGTCGTCCATCGCGCGTATCCGCAAATCCAAACAACGGTCTGCACTTGGACGCGATTTCGTCCGAGTGCCGGGTAAACCTTGGGATTATGATCTGCGACGATAGCGGCCGATGGAAATGGCGTTTAGGTAGGTGGGCAGATAGCGTAGGCATTATGGTGGTCGGTTCGGGAGAGGCGTCGCCGAACCGAACGCTGAATCACCCAGCGAGAGTTTTCCTGTCAGCGGCAGTACGGTCGCCACCATCCGACGAACCGCCGTGGAATTGCCTCGTACGGCCACGAAATGAATGCGCGAACGCCCATTAGGGGAATAAATCAGCCGAACGTTATCCACAGCGTCGCATAATCGATCTCGCTAATCCGGGCCTAATCGTTCGTCCGGTAGAAAATTTTCTTTCCAACGATCAGCTCGTTAGAATACCGCGAAAGTGTATTTGGAATTGGAATCGGCTACACCACCGAGCTCGGGCTTAGGGCTTGGTTATTAAAATCTGACGGTAATGTGTAACAAACGACAAATATCCACGGTCTAATAATAAAACAAAAGAAAGATCTTTCGATAAAGTAAAAAGCATTTCGTTGTAATTAAATCAAACGATTCGATAAACTCGGTGCCACAGATGGCAGTACACCGTATATCTGGCGGGTAATCCATAGCTTCGATAATTCCCTAAATCGTCGATAATCTTTTAAGTGGTTGCCGCAAATAACCGGTATATTAATAGTCGACCACCGCGGCCGAACATTAGCGGGCGCATTAAATGGATATCCAGCTTTAATTCGTGAAATCGATCCTCCTTTTCCCATCCCTCCCCTGGCATATCTGGCTTTACGTGCGTCGTGTGGCAGGGATAAATTCGAGGGTGCGGCGAGTCGCGAAAATGTTTGGTTAGCATTCGGCTTATTGGCCAGCGAATGTTCGTGCTCTGTTAGGCATGTATGGATGGCCCCCAGGTTATAATAAAGCTAATTCTGCGGTGCTCTTGAGGCAGCTCGTGCCGCAACATGTTTTGCCTCTCGTCCCATACCAGCCTATCCTTTCTTCCTTTCTCACTCCTTTTCGCCGTTTCGCCCGATATATCCGACCAACCCTCCCGACTCTTCACCTTCCGACTCGTTGTTACACTCGGTGTCTCTCTTCTTCCGCGTGTTGCAACAACCGAATATATTTATACGCCCCCTCGGAGGGTAAGCACGCGTCCGTTTATTAAAACGTTTCCACCCTGAACAGAGCAACCGCGTATACGTTTCGATGCTAAACTCTCCCGTACTTTTCATTGTCTAGCTAGAAAAGAAACACTCGTTTCAGTCGACACGTGCGCGATTTTCGAGTAGCCTGCCGTTACCTTGGTCACGTTCGTGAATTTAATTTAATTAGGAGATAGAGGGAATGTTTTCGAGTCGAGGTTGATCGCGAACGATAGTCGGATCGTGGAAATTTCTCATGGTTCCCTTTTACACTTTCTGTGTTCTTTGTTGCGAGAGGGGTATTTCTTTGGGGGATTCGTGTTCGTGCGATATTTGCATTATCGAATGAAAATGCAGCAGGAGCGAAGGTTAAATTATTCGAGTCGACGGTCGCGTAATCGTAACGCTTATACGAATAAATAGCGAGTAAAAAATTAGTCTCGAGATAATATCTGAAGGGGCGTCTACGCGCAGCGTGAAGTCGTGATTGTCGACGAAATTCATGGAACGAGCTCCGTACGGCTCTGACAAGGCGCCGTGTTACGATCGATGAAACGAGCAGTCCAGACTTGCAGCGTGCCTTGTGATCGACGCCGTAGCATTAATTAATTCTCGGTGATCTCAATTAAAATATTAATTACGGAGAAACAATGAACCCGCTGACGGGTGGAGGCGCCGATCAGAATGGACCTGTCTTCTCGGTTTCTCTTTTTTCCCCCGCTCCCTCTCCTTTCGTATCTTTCTCATTCTGGCTGGCCAGATGAATCGTAGCGATGCTATTACGATTACCGTCCTCCCATAAGCCTATCTGATAAGCAGCGCATTTATATGGCCAAGGCTGTCGCGGCATCAACGTCGCTGACTTGTCCATTCGTTTGGCTCGTTGCGTCAGGCCAGAACGAGCTGATCATTTGCATATTTCTCGTGTCTGTTTCCCGGCCAATCTCATCGAATGTCCGATCGTTTAAAAAGCAGCGAAACCTACCGGTGACAAGGATCTTAATGTTCTCCTTCGAAAGCAGCGCGTCATTGCTGGCTCGTAGAGTTATTCAAAAAATAGATTGTAACGCTGTATATCCGATTATCCTTTAAACGTTACTTAACTTCCTCGCTCTGTCATAAACAAATGACTTTAATCGATCGCCGATTAATGGGTCACGGTACAAGGATTAATCCTTTCTCGTCGAATAGAAGAAGGAAGGCAACCGAATCCATTTCACGGGCCATCCGCGCGAGTCCGGTTATCGTCGATACGGCCAGGCAATAACAAGCGCTTATTGAAAATACGATTGTCGAATCACTGATGGAGGATAACGTTCGGGACACGTACATAATAAAGACTATTCCGCTCGTGTGTATCGATGCATTTGCGAGGCACAACTGCAGGGAGAGATGGTCGTATAGCCCAGGAAAGCTGGGAACGTAGTCGGGCTGCACCACCTGACGCGACGGGGGGTCAGTGGTTCTCATTTGACCGGTTCAGAGAGAAAATTAGTAAGGGGTAGCAAGTAGAAAAATGTCGCGGTGACACGCGAGTGAGATCGTCTCGGATCGAGTCGAGCAATTTGCATTCTACGATACGGTGTACGGTAAAGGAGGAGGAGGGCGCACGGTTCTGGGATTAAAGCGAAATTAAATTAAGCGAGGAACGCGAGCTATGCGAGCTTAACCCGGGCCCTGTTGATCGGCCTCTCGAATCACGATTTCACTTAAGGACACGCGAGCTGGTGTCGATCGATAGAGATATATCTGGGCCCGGGCTAATGATGACTCGACCGAATTCGAGAGCTGCTCAGTCCTCTTGCATCCTCCTCTACCCTCTCGTTGAAAGTAATTTACGAGGAGTCACGATTGATTCGGATACGAGTGTCGATGTGAGCACCTCGAACGGACGATGCAGCCGTGACGAGTGAAAATACAAACAGTTTAACAGGGATGAGTAGTCGTTTAGCGTTCTTCGGATCAGCCGCTCCTCGCTCTCCCTCTTCTCTTTTCAACCCTTTTTCTCTACCTCTTTCTTACCTTGCCACGCGAATATAGATACGTATAGCAATTCGTTGCAAACGCCAGACGAATATGGGGTATTAAAAAAATGAAATAATGCGAATAGATGGAGTGGAAATCGATCGGAAAAATAGGGGTTAAATTGTTAAAGGGTCAACTGTGTAATGGTTCTAGGCGCAAATGGGTTAAGCGAGACCATTAGTGCGATTTCACATCGATACGAGTGGATAGGGACCGAGAGTAGACAAAGTTAGCCGCAGGCCGATGAAACGCTCGCTGTCCGCTCGGCGGTGGTCGACAGGGGTTGCGTAAGTTGGTCCAACCTCCTGCGGTCTTGCGTCAGAGAATCAATTATTGGATCCGTATATCAATCTGATGAGCGGAGCGCGTTCGTGGCGTGCGGCACCCCGCTGCTTTTACGCATTTTCTTCTCCCTGTTCACCCCGCTGTGGGGCGTTGGTAACTGTGGAGAGTGCACTTCTCCTCTCCGTATGGTTCAGCACCATATAGAGCGGTCGTACGCGTACGACCGGTTCTCCACGTTTCGAAGGCTCTGTTCGTCCCGTCCGGTCCCGTCGCGTCGAGCCGCGTCGAGCCGCGTCGGCCGTGACGTAGCCGGTAATGTTGATTTTTCGAAGTCGACTGACTCGTACTGTTTTCTTCTCTCCGCAGGGCGCCGACGAGGATGACAGCGCTTCCGTTGCCTCGGTAAGTTCATCATCATCATCGTCATCGTCATCGTTTCTCTTCCGTGGATCGTGATTATCGCGCGCGCGTCTCCCCCTTCGAACGGATAATTCTTTTCGTGGTCGGGAACGTGCAACGGATTGCGCGTTGCTACGATAAATGCACGCGATCTGGTATCGTGATCTTAATTAAAATTTCCCCTTCTAATCGGCTAATGAATCTCACTTCGACCTCCCGATCCGATCCGTTCCGTTCCGTACCGTTCCGTTTCGTTTCGTTTCGTTTCGTCTCGCGTTATCGTTCGGTGGCTGAATATCGCGAGTAACCCCTGTTAATCGAGGCAATTATTGCATCGGGAAGCAGCAACTGGACGGGAAGTCACGGGAGTGGTTGGTCAGAGCGGCGCAAGGGGATTATCAGGCATTGGCGAAATTGGCTGCGGAGGAACCTCGGCTCGCACGGCTCAAGGTAAGCGATATTTATCTTTTATTTTCTTTCATTTTCTTACAAGTGTATTTCATAAATTGTACACCAGTCCACGCGTGATGCTTCGTACCACGCGTCAGATATTCGCTTCGTATAAATTACCTTTCGATAGAAAGCAATTCCCATGTTTCGGTTGCGTGTGCGTCTTCGATCCGGGAAGACGAGTTAAAAAATTGTAGATTCGCGGGCAAGTTGGCCGATCGTTCACCTATATAGACGGGCACACCGGTCCGTGTACGCGCAATGGATCTCATTGAGTTACGAGCACACCGCCTCGGGTGATAATGACAAAGGTGGCGGGCCAGAGTTTCGGAAATATAATTACGGTGTGGCTTACCGTAGGCCTGGGATCAGGCCGTTATTACACGCACGGCAGAACTTAACACCTGCGGCGTTGTAAATTCGCCGTTTTCACGCGCCACCATTGACAGGTCAATAAATCTAAGAGCCCCCGTGGCAATCAGGCAGCCGGTGTATACGAAACCGCCAATATGTGGAGCGGATCACTAGTGTCCGATAGTAACGAGTTAAGGATTATTCACACTATTCGTATACCTTATCCGATACCGTAACATAGATCTTTGCCAATCCGCTCGGTATCTCACCTATTTTCCATTTTTTCATTCTTAAAAAAATTTCTTTCTTAAACATTCGCCTATTGGGGATGTTTCAATTTCATTTGAGAGAGACGTTAAACGATGATACGTTGAGGAAAACCGTTCACAACGCGATGGTTGCCGTTAACAAGGCTCGTTTTCTGGTCGAATAGTTTGAACTGGCCTTTAACGGGCGCTCGTGAAACGTAGGAGTGAGGAAGGAACACAGGGGATGAAGGGGCTGTAAAGTGGGGATGTAGCAGGATGGCTGGAGGTGGTTTGCGAAAGGGGATGGAGGTGGCTCGACCGCACAGGGGATGCGTGCTGAATTCATTCCGCTGGACAAGGTTGCCCCACACCCACCTCCGGCCCACGTCTGCCTCATCCCTTGGGATAAATTGGCCGAACCCGCGTGTTTGCGGATAACATCGCCGCGATATACGCTCGCCTATGGCCGCCGACGCCGTACGAACGTAACCGTACAACGACGGCCCCCTTTTTGCCACTGGTCTCGCGTTCCTGGAAATTGGCAACCAACCACGTTCCGTTCCGTTGTCTTTTTCGCGTACGTTCTAGTCACCGTCTATCACGCGTTCAGCTTTTGCGTGCATCACCGAGAAAACAGTAGAAAAATGTATCTCGTTAAAAATTCTGTTCTTGTTCGAGGAACGCTCGTTTCGTTTGACGGAATGGTAGAAAGAGGTGGTACTCTGTTGGAAGACCAAGTATTTGTTGAATCAGAAATTTACCGTAACCAATGTTCAGGTGTGCTACATCATTTGCAATCGAGGTTTCAACGTACATAGAAACACATATATCCTATATATTAATCCATCGATGAATATGCAACGGTCAGGCAGGTCGGTAGAATGCGAGGGCGATGGGATGCGGGAGACAAAGTGAAGCAAACGACAGGAAGGGTGTCGTTGTGGGAGGGCAAGGGACGTCGCTAGGCATTCCAATTACTCCCCCGTTAATTAAATCAACACGGAAGCTAATCAACGTTACTCTCCCACTCGTCGTTTCTCTCCCGGTTGGCCGAATTTTTCTCTCGGACAAATAAATCAGACGATTGAAGGATAACCGAACGAACGGGAAAATCGTGTCCCATGGCTGATCGCGGCTGAAGATGGTCGCGGTGAATAATTGATAGAGGTTCGATTCAACGTTCAACACGAAAAGACGGATCGCCCCTTTTCTCTTTTGCATCGATTAACCGTCATCGATCGCGCTTTTGCGCGATCCCTTACGAGGCAACCGTCAACAGTCACGCCGCGTAGCTTTTTATTTTTCTTTTCTCCTGGATGCTTTACGAGCCCGTATTAAAGAGCCGTTCGCACACGTGGCCTACGTGATCCATGTTCGAACCTCCTGGACACGACCATTGTATTCCCTAGCTGGGTCAGGTGTACACGCTCGTCGTGGTACCGTGTGTGCCCATTATACTTTATTAACCGACGCGTCTGGCATCGCGATAGATTCGTCTGTTCAATTTCTGCGTGCGTCCCGTTCCGATGCAAGACTGGTAAACAAAGCTCTGACGCATCGTTTCGCAATCCGTTCTTTTACTCTTTTCAATGAAATCCTTTGAATCCTTCGTAGAATGTTCGCTTCTCATCGAAAAATAAAATATCGGAACGGAAAGCCATTAACAACGCGGAAAACAATTTTATTCGATATTTTCGATTTATCTTATCGCGTGTAATCTCACTCCTTCCGCTTGTATCATCAGTTACATGACACCCTGTATATTGGCCGTTGAACACGGGTTCAGCATCCGTCCGTGTATTTATCCGCTGGTATCGGTTGGTTTAATAACGCCAGGCAATCAGAAGGTGTTCCCTCCTACCTACAACTTCTGCATTCGCAGCCACCTCCTCCCTCCCCCCTATCTCGCCGATAAATAATAACCATTTGTATCGGATTCTAATTACTCGCTCTAAGCAAACAAATAAACGGCAGGCCGATGAGGAGACGCGGACCGTGAGAGGGGCAGGTTTAATGTTATGGTGGCTGCAGGCTGATTTAAGGAGTGTGGGACCGCCCACCTCGAAGATGCATCTTCGGCTCGGCCATCGGTCCACCTGTTATGAGTGTTTCAACGCCACTGTGCGTTCTTCTTTTTCTCGATTCGCTTCTCGATACCTGTTGCCGATACCGAGCCGAAAAAAACATCGAAAATACCGTGGCGTAATTAAATTGCCACGAATCGCGATCCTCCGGTTTGAACATTCCCACCGGATGGCTACCATCTTGCTAGAAATGTCATTTATTTTAATACGGCCATCTTGGCACCCTACAATCGTAGCCATTCGAACGAAAATTTATTTCATTTTTTAATTGAAACTTAGGAAATTAATAGAAGCATAGACGAAACATATGCGAGAGCATAGACGTTTAGTTTTCACTTAAAAGATCTTCGAAGAGAAATGCCGACGGTAGTTGGTTACCGGTGGGCTATTAGCGGGCGTAACGCAGATCGTGGCAGCGTCACAGGACTAAGTAAACCCTGGCTAACAAGGAGGCGTATCCTGGCATCGAAGCCGGTGCCAGGAATGATCTACCGATACGTAGTTGGCATTATTTCGTTCCACGTTTCTCCTTCATCTAGCTAGCTATCTTTTTTCCCTTCTTCCTTCTTACTCTCCACCCTTGTTCTCGCTTCGACTCGCGCGTACGAAAGGCGCACGCATAACGAACAGACGGAGGATATACCTCTGCACCTCCTACCTACGCCCCCGAATATTAACAATCTGATTTATGCTCGTAATTATCTCTAGTTATTTTCTGAGAGAAAGGACCGATGTATTCGCGAGAGTTTGTCTTTCGTAGCTGCCGGTGCTGCTGATACACAACAAATTAACCGTTCCTTCTTCCGCCTCCTCTCCTTCTCATCCTGTTCACTCGACGCTGTTTCTTTCTGTTTTCGAGACTAGCCTTTCCTCGCCTATTTATAGGTGTCTCGTTTCCCTTCGTAATTGCCTTCTTATTATATTGGGCGATGGCCCCAAGAGAAGACGGTAGCAGTAGAAGAACGTTAGACCGTGTTCGGTTCAGCCTCGAATTCAGCCTCGCGGCTGATCATTTATCCTCGACCGAGAGACCGGCCAAACGACCTGTCGCCCCTTTGTGCCTCCTGCCCGCTTTGAAGCCACTGAGAAATATATTTTCAGCCGTGCTCGCGATTATTACGTACGCCTCGTCTGTCGGTAATTAGCACTGGCTCGTTTCACGCTCATCTGAACGCAGCCCTTTCAACGTTTTATCCATCGGATAAGCTATTTGCCTGCCAGTTCCAACCTTCCAACTTTCTTCATCTTCGCCTAGTTCTGTTTCCATCGCGTGTAAGGAGACAGCGAGGAAGTTTGGGAGCTGATAACGGATCAGCAAGGTAGAGATTTTATGGAGCAAGCCAGGGTGTCGCAGATCGACTGCGCCAACCTGGCGTCATCTTCCTTCGGCATCTTCTCTCGTGCTCGTCGCGGTCGGTTCTTCCTTGTTCTTCAGGATACCCAGCTTTCACTTCTCTCCTCTAGTAACCTTCTAGGATTTCACAGTTTCTTTGGTCTTGGAAATTCTTCGCTATCGGTAATATTTCTCTAGGGGTGCGCGTAACAAAAATGATCACGCGCTGGTCGAACGATCTTCGCGGAAGTTTCAGGTTGCAATTCATTCGAAGAATCTCCTGGTACACGGCCCGTGACTGATACAACTCGCTTCCCGGTGATTGATGTCGCGTTTCAGGTGCAGGTAAATCGTGTGCGAGTGGACACGTACCAGCGCGAGTCGGTCGATCCTCGTTTATCCGTAATTTCGCCGCGCCTTGAGCGAGGAGCTTCGGAGAAATTATGCGTGTAATAACGAGGAAGGTGGAACGACGAAACGTCGTCCTGGTATCTGGTCGCGAAATCGTTCGTGACGCTTGCTCGTCGATCGTGGGGCCCGTTTTCTACTTACTCGAACGTATTCCGTGGCAAAGGAGCAAATAAGAAGAGGAATAAAGAAAAAGGAGAAAAAAGAAAGTCGGAAGGGCGTTTGCCGTCGCTCGGAATACACGCGTTTACGTATACACGGTGGTTGGATCGGTGACTGCTTGTTCGCACTGTGCACCGCTAATTAGCTTCAAGACCGATGGCTATCTGTCCGGCCACATGTCCCTTAAAGTGGCGAGCTGAAACATCCGGTACGCCCTTTCCGTTCGGCAACTCGGCCGGTTTCTTCGACGTCTACCTTACAGCGTATAGTGTAGAGAGAATCGAATGGGCACTCGAAGCAAGTGCAACCCCTCTTCTCTCGCTACCCTTGTCCTCTTCGTTACGTTGTATCAGTTAGCGACTGGTTGTCAAACAAACGAGCTGCAAATGCGAGCTACGGCATCGAGAGTGA